GTGGGTGGGTGGGCGGGTTGGACAGCGCGGCCCACTATCAGGAGGTAACACCGGTGACACCGGGGACACCGGTGACACCGGGGACACCGGGGGGCGCGGGGCAGGGTAGAACCCAGGCGCCAATTTCGAAATAATCTTAATCTATCAGGAGCCACCTGGCAGCAGATCGTGTTGACTGCAACCTTCAGCAGGATGCCGAGAATCATTGAGCTGACCAACCTGCTAGTTGTGCTCCCAGCGATTGCGCACCCGCGCACCTCACTCCTTTCAAGCGGCCCGCCCGCCCTTTCCCCTCGCACATACACTCACTTTGGGCAGGGTGATGTTGGGCAGCTTGATGTTGAGCTCGGGCAGGCTGGGCACCTTGAGCGAGCTGAGCAGGGGCACACTCACGTTGATGCACCTGCATTGACGACGCAGCGACAACGCGTGGGTGGACGGGCGCGCTGGTGGCGGCAGGCGGGGATCCGGCGTGTCACTGGCTGGATGCGCCACCAACTGGTGGCGCACATATGGGGCGGGCGGAGCGGTTTGCACGCAGACGGGCGGGTGCAGCGCGGGCAGTCAAGAGGGGGCGCATCGTAGTGCAGGCACCCATGGAGGCAATCCCAAGGGCAGCACTCACTTGGCCTCGCACAAGCCGCAGTAATTAGGGGTGCACACCTGTACAGACAGCAAGCGGATAGGGGCAAGGCTCGACAGCTCAGCACATCAGGCAGTTGTGCTCAGGCAAGCAGATTAGGGCCATGACATCCTAAAAGAGATGAGGGGTGGAGCACACTCCTCCCGCTCACACAAAGTTGAGTGTTTGGTTCAAAGGAGGCCGCGAGCAGCTCTTCCTCCGCTTGGCCTGGCCGCCCGACCACACAAGAAGGCAGCGCCCGGCCCCGCGCTGCCGCGCACCTGGCTGGCGCTGCACTTGCCGGCGGTGCAGGGGTTTCCTGAGCACACGACCAGCGGCCTGCCGTTGGGGCACTTGACTGGGCGGACCTTGTGCAGCTGCTGGGCTGCAGAGCGGGCCACGCCTTCCAGTGACGCTTTGGTTGCGTTGAGGAGCTCGAGGTATTGCGTAATGTTGCTGGCCTTGAAGGCTGGCAGCGACAGGGCTGCGGCTGTATGGGGCAGGGGTGGAGGGGGATGCGGGGTGGGTCCAGGGCACGTGGGATGGGGGGGCTGTCGCGGAGCGGGGTCAGCGGCTGCTCGCGTCGCTGCTGCTGCTGTGGGTGCTGGGGGCTGTGAGGGGCTTACCAAGGGTCGTGTCCGCGTGAGAGAGTTGCACCAGGACCATGACGGTGGCGAGCAGGAGGAGTGGGCGCGTCGAAGTCATCGTCGGTGGGCACTGGAATCCCCGAAAATCGGAGGCAGGACAGTAGTTTGGCGCTTACACGGTGTGAACGTATTTGAACAATGATTTTGGGTATGAGAAGAGTGTTTGCCAGGGCTCGTTTTGAAGGCACATTGTGCGCTGCCCCTTGGCAGCTGCCATGGCAGCTGTCTGGCCAGCCACAACCACCTCTGCGTCTGGGTTTAGCCATCTCACATCAGCCCCAGAGCTCCAAAATCACACCACCAGCAGGGCGATCTCCGACCACTGGCTTTTTGCAGACATGACGCGCTTGCATGCCCCGGCACCCGCCAACCAGCGCTTGGCTGCCCTGCAGATCACCCGGAAGGCGCCCGGCTTGGGAGCACTGACGCAGTTGCCCCTGCTTTGCCAGACTGCTGACCATCAACCTGCCATTCAGGCACCAGTCAATTACAAACATCCAGTTTGCTGCATTGCAGCAGGTCTTAGCTCGTGGCGGGGTCAGCAGCGTCAGGAAGGACTCAAGGGGGCTGGATGGTGCGCTCGTTCGTGGGGGCTTAAGAAATCAGTGCACTGCATGGACACATGGGTAATGCCTCCACCACAGGTATGCGTGCTCTATTGCATTGGGTATCATGATGCATGATTGTTGCTTGGAGGGGCGGCGCCATGAGCGGCTGCCTCGTATTCAATTCAAGTTGCCTGCCTGGTGGACAGGTTGAATGACGCTTCTGCGCGAGCAAGTCGCAAGCAAGGCTGGCATTGAGGGGTTGAGGTATCGTTGACAAAAGGGATGAGATCAAGGGAGGACGCTGCCAAAGCACGTTGCGTTTCGAAGTTGACGCTTTCAGGGAGGCCAGACAACAGGTCTCCGTCGCGTGCGCGCGGCAGGACGGGCTTGAGTGCGCCCTGCGCTCGTGCAGGCTGCTGCCAGGTGCATCAAAACACACTCGCAGTCATCCGCGTTTCTCGACGCTACTCAGGCCACAAGAGAACGCTGCGGCGCCAACAAAATGGGCCGTTTTCCCCGCTACCAGGCCGCAGGGCGCGTTGCCGAATGCACTCAGCCGCCCGCAGCGCTACGTGATCCTGTTGAACGCGAGCAGCGGCGTCTCCACCTTTTTCGCCCCCCTGATCACGCCCCCCGTCGCCGCGTCGAGCAGCTTCTGCGAAACATCCGCGCCCGCGGCCTCGGGCCCCAGCTGCGACCAGATGACCGCCGCGACGCCGGCGACGTGCGGCGTCGCCATGGAGGTCCCGCTGAACGTGGCGTAGCAACTGGGCCGCTTCTTGGGGCACTTTGCCGCCGCAAGCGACGAGGTCACGCCGACGCCGGGCGCGTAGATGTCGACGCACGGCCCCCAGCTGCTGAACGACGCACGGGCGTCTTTTTTGGTGGTTGCGCCGACGGTCAGCGCCGACGGGGCCGAGGCGGGCGAGACGCGGCACGCGTCCGAGTTCGAGTTGCCGGCAGCAACCGCAACGACGAGCCCCGCCGCCGTCGCGCGCTCGACGGCGGCGTTGACCGACGCCGACAGGGCGCCGCCCAGGGACATGCTGACGACGCACATCCTGCCGCCGCGGTTCTGCTTGCAGTCGCCGGCGGCGAAGTTGATGCCGGCGATTACGGCGGACCACGAGCCGCTGCCGGCCTTGTTCAACACCTTCACGCCCACAATCTTTGCCGCCTTGGCCACGCCCACCGTCCTGCCGGCGACGGTGCCTGCAGGGGCGGTCCGGGGTCGACGAGCGCGGCCGGGGGCGGGGCGCGGAGAAGGTGGGTGAGTGGGTGCAGCGGAAGGCGAGGGGATGGCGGCAGGCGTGCGTAGACGGGGACGTATGGGCTAAGGGCGTGGCAGGGGCCTGTGGTGCTCAGAAACACCACTGCGCCAGCTTGTGCGGCTGCTGTTCCCGCGAATCGTTCGCCGACAGGCCCAGCACATCGCAGCGGCTCCTGCTGGCGATGCCGCCTACCCTGCCTCTCCCAGCGGCCCGCCCCCGCCTCACCGCTGCAGTGGGTGCCGTGCCCGTTCCTGTCCCCCTGCCCGTCCGAGGCGGCGTCCGGCGCCACAAAGCCCATGGACGCGCGGCCGCCAAACTCATCATGGGCCGCGTCAACCCCAGAGTCGATGACGTACACGGTGACCCCCGCGCCGGCCGAGTCTGGGTAGCTGTACCCGTTGTCTAGTGGCAGGGAACGCTGGTCGATTCGGTCGAGGCCCCTGGGGTTGAGTCGTCGGATGAGTCGTCGGCGGCACGGGTAAGGAGGGGTCCAATTCATCGCCAAAGGTAAAGGTTGATAATGAGAAAAAAGCAGAAATTGGCGCCTCTTCCGCCTTGAGCCCGGCGATCTGGCCCAGAAGCGCGTGCAAACAGAGGCGGGGAGAGGGGCGGCGCGGCGCGGCGGTCCATGCGGGTGGGTTCGCCATTGCAACGCCATTGGCGGCCAGGCTGCCGGCGCCAACGGGGGCGGCTGCGCTCTGCCGCATGGGTCGCCCGCGCCCCTAGCCGAGTCTCAGCTCACCACGGCGCGTCTGCCTGCGTGGCCTGGACTGTGACGACCCCGTTCTTCTCAGCAATCGCGACGCCGGGCAGCGCCCTGAGGCGCGACAGCACCTCTTCGTCCGGTGACGCGGCGGCGGCCGCGGCGGCCGCGGGCGCAAACACGTCCAGCCGCAGCAGGTTGCCGCTGGGCGCTGCCGCGAGCGCTGCCGCCGACGCCGCCGTTGTCGCCGTGGCGGCGCCGTCGGCGGCGATGGGGGCGCCGCGGGTGAGGTCGGTTACGCCGCCGCCCGCGCCCGCGCCGCCCGGGGCGGTGGCGGCGGCGGCGGCTGCAGCGGCGCCCTCATCGCTGAGCGGCGTGTTGAGCACCTGCTTCAGCTGCAGGCCGGCGCCGAACTGCAGGCGCAGGGCGGCGCGCGACCGGGAGATCTGATCTGGCGTCGCGTCATCTGCGTAAACGACGATGAAGCCGCGCTCCTGGCCGCCGCTCGACGCGGCGCGCACGAGTGATGCTGCGGCGTTTGACGCAGACCAGCTGCCGGGGCCCCCAGCGGCGGCGCCGCGGAGGGTAAGAGACAGCAAGGCGGAAACAGTCAGTAGGCTGAACGCCATGCGTGCCATGCCTGGCCGTGAAGCGGGCTAAGGCACACCGTCGGTGGTGCCCGGTGGCCCGGTGAGTTTTTTGGTCACACACTAGCAGGGGTGTCGGTCCAAGCATAAACAAGTGAAACAAAGGGAACGCCAAGATAGAAATACGAGGCGAAGCCCGCTTCGACGTGATTGCTCAGCGCTTCGAAAATGGCTGGGTGTGTCACCCGGCTCGATGGGCTGGGTGAATGGAGCCGCCAGGACCAAAGTTCCATATGAACATGAGTTCCCACTCCGATGTCAATCGTGCGATGTGCTCTGATGCAGCCTGGTGCCAACCGCTAGGTAGGCCAGGAGAGGGCTACAGTAGGAGGAGATTGAGAAAAGCTGCAACCCACGTTCCTTTGCACCCCTCTGGCACTGCCGGCTTTCACGACAAAGCATTCTAGTTTGAAAAGGTTGGCAGCTAGATTGAAGAGGGTGGCAGCGCCCCCACAGTGCGTCGCTCCCTGTGCGCCCACACGAGCTCGGTTGCAACGAGCACACAAGCAACGCCATCGCTCGTGCCGTAATCAATCTGATCGACCCACCCACCTCGCCACTGAGGCAGGGGTTACGCTTGGGTAAATAGCCAGTCCAGAGGGAAAGCGCACGGCAACGGCACGGGCTGACCGGAGGCGACCGCAGCGCTCCTCTCTCGCTCTCTGCAAAGAGTCCATTCCGTGCTCAGCCGCGCGCGCGCGCAGACCCCACAATCACACAAGGGCACTCGCACACGCGTTCACACACACACACGCACGTGTGCACACACATACACACACATGCGCGTATGTGCCAGCAGATATACGAGCGTGATTACACATGCACTCACACGCTTCAGTCTGACCTGGACAGCCGTTGTCCTCCTGCTTGATTCGTAGTGGTCCAGACAGTCAAGGCAGTCCAAGGCTGTGAAAAAACGATCTATAACTGTACCAGCCCAGACAGATGACTGAATGGGTGCCGCGCGTGGCCTCTCAACAGCTGCATCGCACCCCAAGACGAGTCTCATGTAATCGTATTTACAGCTGAAAGCCAAGGCCTGCGCCGCAAGCCCGAGGCGCAGCGCACGCAGCCTCCTGTGCGGGTGCAGCGCCGGCGCGGCCACACACCTGAAGGTCCGTGCGACGTTTGTGACTCATTCAAAGGGGTGACGCATGGGCAGATGGATCGGGCCGCGGCCTCCTGGCAGCGCTGGGTGTGCCACTCAAAAGCGATGCCGGCGCCCACACCAAATGCCAAAGCAAAATAGACCCCCGGCGCCTCTCGACGCCGAAAGAGCGCGGCGTGCCGCCGCCTTGCGACGCCCTCACAGGGAGTCTGGGCGGGGATGCCCTAGGGCAAGTAGTCACAGCCGCGCCCGGGCGGGGCCGACGCGCCGCCCCGCAGCCCCAGAGGCGGCGATCCCTTGCCCACACGGCGGCGCCGCCAGGCTGGCGGCGTGTAATGCAAGGCCCGTCGCTCGCAGCGGGGACGGCCCAGAGGATGGCCGTGCGCCCCGTCGTCACCAACCACGCAACCGCCGCCGCCGCTACCGCCGCCGTCGCGACCGCCGCCGCATCATGTGCTGACATCACATGACGTCACATGACGCCCAGGCCCTGCAGCTCCGCGTCCTGCCGCGCCAGCTCGAGCAGCATGGGGTCGTCGAAGAACTTGGCCACGCTCACGTCCTCGCTCATGCCCTTGCGGCGGCGCGTCTTTGGAGGGGGGTGCGAGAGTAGGAGTGTGTGTGTAAGCGTGTGTTTGTGTGTGCATGTGTGTGTGTGTGTGTGTGTGTGTGTGTGTGTGTGTGTGTGTGTGTGTGCTCGCCCGCCAAGCAGCCGAAGCCGTTGCAACCCTTGCAGCAGCCCCACCAACTCGCCGGCCTCAGGCCGTGCACCTGGACCCACGGCCGCGCTGGCAACATTCAGAACCCCAGAATCAAGGGACAGTAGCAAACCCGCAACGCCGTGCAGCAACCCCCGAAACCGATTTCACCGCCACCCCAAACCCTGATACGGCGAAAAAATCCTGGGCCTCACCTTGACGCAGAACTCGCGCGCCAGCGCCGCCACAGGCGCCGGCTCCAGGGGGCGCAGCACCACCGACCGATCGAGGGGGTCGCCCGGGACGACCTGGCAGGGATGGGGTGGCGTTGGGGGTGTTGAGTGACACTTGGACGGTTTTTATGATGGCAGGCGCGCGTTGTTTGACAGAGGGTCGCAGGATGTGTGGGAGCGATGCAGGCCGGCTGGGCGCCAGGGGGTGACGGTGGTGCGGATGGATCGGCGGGGGCTGCAAAACAGGCGTGCGGGAGCAGAAGAGGCAAAGACAATAAGCGGCATCCCTCCCTGCACACCACACACACACACATGCACGCACACACACACACACACACACACACTCTCGTGCACACACACACACACACAACACACACACACACTGGTGCACACACACACACTGGTGCACACACACACACAACACACACACACACACACACACACAATTACACCTACATACTTACCACCTCTCCCGTGCCAGCGGTCTAACACCCCTCAATAAAAACACACACCCGCCATCCCACGCGCAGCCACGACCACCCCCCCCCGCCCACCTGCCAGTGGTCAAACACGCTCTGGCAGAAGGCCTGGCCCTGCGTGTGGTAGCGTAGGTCGGTCTCAAACCCAAAGGACTCTATGACGGGCAGGAAGGCCTGCACCACAAACACGGGGGTGCCCGGCTTTGGCAGGTCGGCCGTGACGTGGCCGCGGCGCTTGGCCAGCACATTGTAGATGGCGCTGCGGGGTTCAGTGGGGTGGGGGTGGGTTTTGGGGGTAGGGTAATAGGGTTTAGGGGTGCGGCAGGGGTGCGGCAGGGTGTAGGAG